CCATCACCATTTTACTGATTCCAACCCAAGCTAGTTCAGCCCCAATTAACAAATTCTGTGAAAAAAGCAAGAAAAATTTCTATGGTAATGGACAACCTTGAAATTTAGAAGTAAAATTAAAACTAATTCACCCTGATTTTATACTATGTCTTAGCATTGAAAAGAGTGACGTTGATGTGTGAAGAGATAAAATATAATGAGTGGCTTAACAGCTGGATAACAGTCACATCATATTGAACAAACTAACACAAGCAGAGAAAAGGTAGTTGGTACTAACAGGGTAGCACTAACACGGTAATTGTATTGGGAAGCATGAATTGAAAAAATAACAGTTCGAAGAGACAAATGCGAACACAGACACAGCAATGACAGAAATTAAAGAGAGCTTCAATAAGAAGCAAATTGTAAGATCGAGAACAAAACTATCAATTGTCACTTTTTTACTTAATTCCACAAGACCTCACAAATCAGCCTCAAAATGATCAACGGATACACCAAGACTGAAAAACAACATCGAGAAAAAAATTGGGTAAAGAAATTGGTATTGAAGGTTATTAATGTTCACTCTTTCAGCGATTGATTGGAGTTGAAAGATTCGACACGTATAAAAAAGGCACTTTTGTATCTTGAATAGTTTGACTCTTTAAAGAAGAACTATTTGTTAACATTGAAGAAAGAAGAACACCTGACAACTGTTCATAAAGTAAGAGGAAACATTCATTGCAGATCAGAAAAATAAAGAGTAAGGTTGAAACTAAAAGCCAATAAATATATGAACTTACTTGATCTATTGAATTTGGACTTCTTCTCAGACATACAGACGACCAATTTGAAGGATATCAAAAAAGATCTTTAAACCAAATTGGACAACTCATGACCTGTGCGCGTCAATCTCCACGATTATATAAAAACGGTTTTTAGACACTTTAATTAATGAGTATTTTCTCGGCAAAATAACTCCGGAAGTTTGAAAATAAAACGATAATTTATAATTTTTAACAAGCTTTATCATCGGTAACATCGGCCACAAAAAACTGCATAACTCAAAGCAAGCTGCAAAAATGGCCAGTATTTGTCCTTGAGACAAATTGCTCTTTTTAAAGGTCAGCCTTAATCAAGGCTGAACCAAATTAGAGCGAAAAGACGGTTAAAATAGGTTTTGGGGGGATCGAACCTGGTTACGGAGCATCCCATCAAGTTCGGTGCATATTTGAGTTCTAGAAAGGAAATGGCCTAGTCGGGATTCGAACCGGCGCCGAACCCGCCGGGACGCAACATGTAGACGCTTGGCTACTGTCCCTATATGCATTTATATGTGCAGTCTTAGGATACGTGCGAGTGGATAATGTCCACGTGGAGTGTCAGGCTCTATGACCCAAACCAAATCGCCGCCTTTCAACTTAACATCTGACTGGTTATGCCACTTTGCCCTCCTTTTGAGGGAAGGAACGTATTCCCGCATCCACCGTGTCCATTGCGTTAGCGTATGATTGCGCTCTGACGAACCACTTCTTATGGTCGAAGTTTTCTTCGAAACTTAGCGACGGAAAACTTGCTGCGTGTTGACCAAGGATAAAATGATTCGGGGTCAACGCCTCTAGATCTAGCGGATCGGAACTAACGGCTGTTATTGGTCTAGCGTTGAGAAATTGCTCAACAAGGCACAGCGTGGTTCTTAGAACCTCCTCAGTTACTCTTCTGTTGCCTAAGATGTCATACAAAACGCGCTTGACACTCCGAACTAATCGCTCCCAGGAACCACCATGGTGCGGTGCGCTGGGTGGATTGAATTTCCACTTGATCCCTTTCTGAACAAAAACAGCGGGTGCGAGCTTGTTTTAACTCTCAACGCAAGCTAAGAGCTCTTTCTAAGCGCCAACAAAGTTCGTGCCGTTGTCGGACATGATGGTAGTCGGAGTACCTCGACGTGCAATAAACATCTCCACGCCCATCACACAAGAGCTTGTGTCGAGCGAGGGGACCACTTCAATGTGCACCGCTCTAGTAGTGAGACAGGTGAACAAAAAACCCCACCTCTTTTCCGTACTTCTCCGGATTGGAACTAGGAACGGTCCAAAGTAGTCAACACCTGTGTTAGTGAAAGGAGGTTGCTTGTAACCCAGCCTTTCAATAGGCAGATCAGCCATCATATGAGTTACGGTTTGCGCTTTGCGTTTTCGGCACACGACGCAAGTATTTTCAATGTTTCGCAGCAACCATCGCAAATTTAACACGACGTACTTCAAATTAACCACCGCACGCATGTAATCCAAGCCTTGATGGAAATTCCTAATGAGCAAATGCTGAACCAATAACCGAACAACTGCGTGACGTGCATCAAGTATAATCGGATGCTTGCTATCGAAATCGGAATTAACCAAGCGGCTGATGCACCCAGTCGAGCGAAGGATGCCAGCTGGTCCAATGAACGGCGAATACTTGGCGATCCGACTATTCCTTGTGATAAGTTTTCCGGATCTTAGTAGTTTTAGCTCACTAGGGAATGTCTCACCCTGGGACAGGTAAATGAGCTTCTGTTCAGCCATATCCATTTCAGACGGGTCTGTAATTTCTAATATACTCGACCGGAAATAATTATGGGATGGCAGCCATCTTAACAAAAATGCTACTGCGCGTTTGTATTTTACAATTGAATTGAATCTCTCCCATTTTCCAAAGGGAAGATTTTTTTCTGTCAAAACATCGACGACGAAATTTGACGAATTTTCTAGACAAATGTCGATATCACATGATGGTCCTTTGAGTCTCATTTTATCGATAACCCTTGTATCGGGCTTGAACGGCCAATCATTTGTTCTCAATATACTAGGGCCATTAACCCAGCTGCTTTCCTTGAGGGCTTCCGAAGAAATCCCTCGTGTACCGGTATCAGCTGGGTTATCACCGCTAAGTATGTGATGCCACTGATCAGTGCTGGTAGACTCCAGAATCTCCCCAGTGCGATTACCAACAAAAACGGGTAGTCTACTACAAGAGTGAAGCCACTGAAGAACAGTGGTACTATCTGTCTACATGAAAATATCCGTAACTTTGAAAGTAAGACCTTTCAAAATTTCTTCCTTTAAGCGGGTTGCAAGAAGAGCCGCTTGAAGCTCTAACTTTGGAATAGAAATCGTTTTCATAGGCGCGACGCGGGCTTTGCCAAACACAAAGGCTAGTTCGGTTTGATGGGAGCTAACAAGTCGCGCACGAAGGAAAGCGACGGCACAGAAAACATCCTGCGAACTATCACCGAACATGTGAAGTTCTATTTGGTCAAAAGGTTCAGTGAAATAGCTGCGAGGTATTGTCAGAGAACCTAACAAACGAAGACCTGAGTGCCACTCAAGGAATTGCTTTTTGATTTCCTCTGGCAGATCGTCGTCCCATTTTTGACCGCTGATTCGCCAGATATCTTTTAATAGAAGGCGAGCCTTCACGGTATACGGAGCCACTAACCCAATTGGATCAAAAACAGAGGGAACAAAATTCAACACGGTACGCTGAGTGATTGCTTTGTCTAGTGGACGATCAACCCCTCTACTAACGACTAAGGTATCTGTTACGTGATCCCACTTAAGACCGAGAACATGCGACGACTGGTCTGGACTCGCACAAATATTTTTAACAGACAAATTGGACTCACGGTTGTCCGAATCAAGAGCGATTGTTACGTCGGGCACGTTGCTGGCTGACAAATTTTGTTAGACGAAACCCCCCTAGTTTAAGCAACGAGATTAAATCCCTACCTAGTTTCAAGGCGTCATCGCTGTTTTGAAACGAATCCAGATAATCATCCATATAGAATTTCTGGACAACAGCCGAAGAAGCTTCGGGGTACTCGGCTTGATTATCCGATGCAGTCTTCTGCAAAGCAAAATTCGCACAAGTCGGCGAGTCACGAGCACCAAAAATATGACGTGTATATTAGTGAACTGCCACACTTGATGTAGGGTCCTCTCGTCACAAAAAACGAAGAGAAGGTTGATCTTCTTCACGGACTCCAACCTGTAAAAACATCCCTTCAATTTCAGCTGAAACGGCGTATTTATGCTGACGGAATCTTAAAAGTACAAAAATGAGGTTTTGAAGGAGATCCGGGCCAACCAACAGAGATTTGTTCAAGGAAGCGCCATGACACTTCGATACCCCATTGAGGACTCGGCGCACCTTACCGGGTTTATTCGGGTTCAACACCGGGTGATGCGGGAGGTACCACTCACGATCGGCTCGTGATTTGGGATCGTGTGCCTTAACGGTTATGACATATCCTTTTTGTATATCTTCTCTTATTGTTTCAGCGTATTTTTCACGGAGCGACGGATCCTTATCTAGCCTCTTTTCCAAAGACTTTTATTGAGCTAAGGAGGAAAAATAGTTATTCGGTAAAGTACTTTCCTTATCGTTCCAAAGCATTGGTACAATGTACCTCTCACCATCGAGAAAGGTGTCATTTTTCAAAACGAACAAAGCGCGTTTGTCGGCGGCGGAACGGGCATCTACCTGCTTGAAGGCTCCATATGACTCCAACTCATACCAAGTTTTAATTTGGTCCACAAGAGACATGTCTTCGACAACACACTTAAAGCAAGACGAGTTCGACTTAAAGGACGGCGGTAACGGACCACTTAAAACCCAACCTATCGGAAGGCGTACGGCGCACGGTGAAATAGAGTCCTCCCCCAGAAGGTACTGGACGGGTCTTATGGCATGGTAGAAATCCTGTCCCATAATTATTTCGACGTCCTCATACTTATAATGTATAGGTTTGATCGGAGCCAACTGCGGGTATTTTTCCTGTAATTCAGGAATACTTATGCTATCCGATCCAATGCGAATATGATCCTTAACATAAGCTCGAAAAGAAAACAAAAATTCACTATTATTCATTTCGGCGGAAACTTGAAAACTTACTTGATGAGTTTTCATCAAGCTCGTGGAATTGAATCCATTTATGGTGAGGTTAACGGGAATGCCAACCAAATGGAGGCGTTTTACGAGATCGGCGGATACCCATGAGTGCGTGGAAGCACTATCGCAAAGAGCTAGGGCATTAGTAATCGTCGCATCCGAAGAGACGGCGAGTGATGCAACTGGCAGGAGGCCTTTAGTTGACTCCTGGCTATGAATATCGCCGACGGCAGCGTTAGTCGATACATGTTTAGTGTTCGCGTTATCTGACGCCGGGGAACTTTTAGTATCTTTAGAAGGAAACATTTTCTCAGCTCCATGTAAGAGTACGTTGTGTGTGCTTTCACAATTTGGCTTGGGGCACTTTCTGGCCTTGCTACAATTACGAAAACTGTGATTGCTCTGTAAACACGCAAAGCAAAGTTTTTGTTCGGCTACATGTTTCGCTCGCTGCGTAGCGTTTTTCTCTTTGAATACGGCGCAATTCCAAAGAGCGTGTTGACCTTTACATACAGAACATGGAGGGTACTTTGGTTTTTCCTTAGTCTTATTACTTACATTTGCGTTACTAGCAAACACTTTCGTACCTACTTTTTGCTTAACTGGTTCTTCAGACTTACCCTTAGAATTGATCGTTTTTAGCCTCTCATGACCCTCCGCTTTTTCTTTAAGCCATTCGTTGAAATCTAGCAGAGTTGGTCTATGCCATTGGCGTCTTACGGTTTGCATCGACCATGCCTCCTTAAGGTTCGGGGGAAGCTTAATCACAGCCTGATTCAGTAAGTTAACACTTTTCAGGTCGTCGTTAAAAGACAGAGACTTAAATACGGCAACAAGTCCAGAAATTGCAGAGGAAAATCCAATTACATTTTCCGAGTTATGCATTTTCAGCGGCGGAAAATTACTCAATTTATATAGATGAGCTCCTACTACGGCATGCGGCTGCCCGAATTTTCTTTGAAGAGTTGCTAATGCGTCTTTATATAGTACTCAGCTATAGCTCTACTCAGCAATTGCGGATTTTGCTTTACCCACTACGAGCGTTTTCAGATAGGTGAGCTTTTCATCGTCACTGAGTATGGCTGAATCGACCATCGATTTGAATTGCCCAAACCACTCATGCCAATTAAGTGGGTTGCCATCGAACTGGGTCAGCTTCCACTCAGGGAGATGATCTTTTCGGCTGTGCATGAGTATATTAACCAACTCTCGTGTCGAAAGTGGACGCTCGACGTCTGCACCAGGTGAATTACCGGGAGTTGGCTCTGTGTAACTCCAAGAGTTACCGTGACAATCAGGAACGAACGGTTGATTAGCATGTGAAGAAATTTCAGGCTGTGCAAAGAACACAGTACCTCCACTTGTATAAGGAACAAAATTATTCGTAGGAACAATCGGAGTTACTGCGGAAAAAACAGTTCTCGAAGGAACGTAGTGTTGTTGAGCTCACATTAAAGGGGCAGCAACAGCTGGTCTCCACAAATTACTATAAGGATTATAGTGGTCACTTGAAAAGCTATAACTACTAACGGGAACACCCATATGTTGTTGTGATGGGATTACAGGTGCTTGGTAGCCAGCTACTACTGATCCTGTAGTTTGATGACTTAAAGAAACCTGATTAATTGCTGTTGATGCAGGAACAAGCGGTGCTACACCAGAAGGAACTTCTGCAGATGTTGGTAGAGCAAAATAGTTTTCAGAAGTTACCGGGACTACTGAACCTGTGTTTGGATTGCCTAGCACCGGATGAGTGGACAAAAAAGTTTGCTTAGGCAAATTATTGGAAACAGGTTGCATGACCTGCTGTAACCCTACTGGATTGTTAACGGAAACCTGCGATCGAACCAAATTCGACAAATTATGTTGTTGTCCGTGAATGTGGTTACTGTAATACAATCCCGGATCACTAGAAGCTGCCTGGCCTTTATTCACTCCTGTAAAACTTGATGAGACCAAGTAATTTGTTGATGCAGGATAAGTTGCCTCAGGAGCTGTTGAACGAACGTGCTGCTCTTGATTGGGAACTACAACAGCATCAGGCTGATTGTGGTCGACAGATTCGACCCAGTGACGCGTACGATCCTTTTCGTCTATTGTTCGTTGTGGAGAGATTCGAGTTAAACCACTTTCTTCAGCATTTTCGCTGATTTCCGACAACTCATCTTCTAACTAAAGCCCTTTCAACTCAATTTCTGCCAGTTTTTTCCTGTGTTCTTCAGCCAATTCTTCCAAC